CTAGTTGTGTGACCCGGGGCAAGTCACTTAACCCTGTTTGCTTCAGTTTCATCTGTAAAATGAGCTGGAGAAGGAAATGGCAAAGCGCTCCAGTATCTTTGCCAAGAAAACCCCAAAAGGGATCACAAAGAGTTGGACATAACTGAAAAACAACTAAACAATAACAACCTCTTCTGGCTCTGGAGTCACTACCACACTGTCTCTGTTTTATCCCTATTCTAGAAGTTCTTGGAGTAAAAGATACCAATAGGGAAAGAGGAGGAAGGCAAGGCTATAAATAAAATAAATCACAGTGAAATATTAAATAATTACTACCCTTGTGTGAGAAGGGAAGGTGAAACTCTGAATTTTACTGATTTTCCTATTTCTTCTTTTGGCTTATGGCTGTCGTAGACCTGACCCTGTGGTTGCTTTCTGGTTGGCAGAGACTATGCTACAATGCTAGGTTATTTTCTAGGAAGTAACAGGAGTGGGGATTGGTTGAGGAGTCATGGATCAATTTGTGATTCATTAGCGTTTTGTTTGAGCTCAGACTATGTACTGGGCTCTGTCATTCTAGGGTCAGTTTGCTTGTATTTTCAAGAGACTTTATCTTTTTAACACATTGTTAACTTCCACTTGTCCCTGAATAACCCTTTTGGGAGAAGCATTGTGTTGGCAGTCATTCTTCCCAGAGAATTAATCCCATCAATACAGAGAACTACCCTACAAGTTCCATAGAGCCATAAGGACGTTCAGTGTTCTAATCCTAGTGACTTTTTCGATACAGAGTGTGATCTAGGGCAGCCCAAATTGTCCTGTCCCTGCATGCCCTCCCTCACATATACACACAATGCTTCGTTTAACTTTTGACCGATGTACTCAATTAATACAAACAAATTAAAAACTGATTTCCCATCTTTTTTCCCATAAATATCTCTGCATATTCAGTCTTAGCTTCCTCATAGAACATGATCTAATGTTATATTAGATGACAACAGAATAATGAATCCATCTGCCCAAGTCTAGAGATATTGCTTAGTCTCTGATATATAAATCTAGTCTAGAGTAAGCTGACATCATTTCCTATCAAGAAAACCCTCAGAAAAATTGGAGTGAAAAGGTTGTGCCAGCATTGATTTAGTATAGGACCTTCAAGTATGTTCTCTCCCCTTCCTATCTTCCCCCCAACACAGTCAAGAGTAAAGATCTGATTCCCTGTCAAAGAGAGGAGTAGAGCAATCCCAGAGGGAAACTAACTTCTAGGAGGTAAAGGGGTATTTCTTATTTACCTGGAAAAACAAGAATTCTGTGGAAAATCTTCTGTTTGGCAGACTTTTCCTACCTTCCTGGTCTTCTTATGCCTTATTCCCCACCACATAAGCCAAATATCCCTGTGTGATTAAATTTTGGGTCCAATCGATTGTTTCTTTATAGTAATAGTACAAAATATATACACTAGAGAATTAGTTTGACAGGCTCTGCATCTAGCTGCATGTCATAATCTATTTTTTAATCCAATTTGTTTTTCCTGTGTGAATGGCTAGACCAGTATCTGCCATATAACTCTGGATTCACTGAGATAGTTTTGGAGTCATCTAGTGCTCAGTAGCAACTAAACGACAAAATTAATAGAACATTTAGCCTGAAATTAGGAAGACCTGAGTTCAAATCTGGCCTCAGACACTTACTAGCTTTATGCCCAGGGCAAATCACTTAACCTCTCTGAGCCTCAGTTTTTGTGATTATAAAATGTGTGTGTGTGTATACATATATAAAATCACCTGCCTTCCACGGGTGTTATGGAGATCAAATGAGATATTTATAAAACATTTAGACACAGTGTCTGGCACAAAGTAGGCACTTGACAAAGCTTGTTCCCTTCTTTTCCCTCCTTTCCCAATTAAATTAGGATAATGTCATCTATGAATAAGAGCATTTGCAGAATGTGACCATTAGTAAAAAAAAAAAAATTAACTTTAGGCAAGACACAGGATCGTAGGATTATAGATTTAGAGTTGGAAGAGATTTCTGAGGTCATTGAATCCTACCCCTTTATTTTGTAGATAAAGAAACCGAGACCCAGAAAGGTTAAATAATTTGCCAGGTTCACACAGTAAGTGTGTGAGGCAGAAATTAAACCCAGGTCTTCCTGACTCCAAATTCAGTACTCAATTCACTCCACTAAACTAAACTGCCTCTTATGTTCCATGACGCAAACCAAAATGTCATTTGCCAAAATATAGCTCCCTTTGAAAAACTTACTTGATGTCAGCATCCAACAGGCTATCTAGCAAAATAATCTCTGTGATCACATATGTCACAAAGGCTTGTATAAGTTTGACATGTGCTGAGACACCTAGTCTGAGAAGAGTCTGTAAGTCTGTACTTTATTCAGTGGAGTCAGATGCTTTCTTACAAAGAATTAAGTTATAAACCTAGTGAGATCTTAAAATTTTCTCCTCCTGAAAAAAATAAATCTTCCTATTTCTTTCTCTTGTTTTCATAAAGGATATCCTCAGCAGTACCAATATAATTCTCGTAAGGATTTTATAGTCGTATGATTAATGCCTGTCTTCTAATACTTTAACATTATACCTAATACCATGCTTAATTTAGTTCCTACACTAGAAGCTGCCTATGCTGATGAAATCAGCTCATTCGTTTCTTTTGTTTATGCCACCTCACTACCGATTCCTTATGTGGACAGGAGGAGAGGAGGAAGGAAGGAAGGAAGAAAGAAAGGAAGGAAGAAAGGAAGGAAGGAATGAACTGGCCAGTTGGGAAATGCACACTCCTTCCATTCTTTCCTTCCTTCCTTCCTTCCTCCCTCCTCTCCCCTTGTCTACATAAGGAATCATACCCTCATCTGCAAGTGTTCTGCCCAAAGGAATAAGTTTCTATTGCTAACTCCCTTCCCCTCTCCCACACACATGCAAAAGATATCTTGGAGTTTACAGGCTAGATTCCTTTTTTAAGGACCATGCCTTATCTCCAAATCACTCTGGTTCTCAATGATTGACCAATAATAGGTCCCAGTCCAAGTCTCATTTGGTCATTGTTTGGGGTCTTGATGGCTCAAAGTGTAAATAGCAATTGTTTCTGTTTTGGCCAGAAACTCTGAGGGTCTTCCACTTATAGACTGATTTTTTTTTAACTAGGTAAAAGAAACCATTCTTTGCTTCATTTCTAACCTAGCCTTAATCATTAAGAATGTATGTTGCCTCAGACAAACTGAGACCTGGGAAAGACCTTAGCTTAAAAAGGCCAAGGTCTCCCACTGCATCCAGGACCATCTCTGGTTGTCCTGATCTATATGTTGCCACTGGACCCAGATGGCTCCTAAGGAGAAAGTGAGGCTGGTGACTTTGCACAGCCCTGCCTCACTTAAATCCACTTCACTTGCAAGGCATGACATCACCTTCCTGAAGTCCTGGTCCTCTTCAAAAGCGAAGGACAAACAACCTCGCTACTACTCTGTGCTCTCCATGAGAGGAAGACTCATCTAACATAGCACTTATGACAGACAGTGCTTTTCAATCTGCCACTAATTTACCTTTCCAGCCATATTTCACATTTGTCCCTTTCATACACAGTCTACACATAAAAAACAATGTAGTGTGGCAACTTATATGATTTAACCATCAATAATAATACTAGCAACTTGAATTTATATAGTTATCTGAGGTTTGCAATGCACTTTGTTTAAAGTACCTTACTTGATCCTCATAACCAGCTTCTCAATTAAGTACTACAGATATTGTTCCTGTTTTACAGAAGAAGAAACAGAGTGGTTAAGTGACTTACTTCCAGTCAAACAGCTATTAAGTGTCAGAATTTGAGGAATTTGAACTCAGGTCTCTTTTAAAAGAAATGCTAACAACCCCAAAAGAGCTGCTAATCTCCATTATTGTTGCTTTACAAATTCCTCAATATTCAGTGTTTCAGAAGTGGTTTAAACTGGACTCAATCTTTTTAATACATTCTTTTATTGAGTGAGGATTGGTACAGTTATTTCTGCAAATGGGAAAGGTTAGTAAGTGGGAATTTCAAGTTCTGTTACTCTCTAATCATTCCTAGATCTGTGCTGATGTCAAGAGATGCCCAGTTTTCTGGTCAACTTGGCATTTTTTTTCTGGTTGTCTTATAAACCTCTGCTCATATACAAGTCAGACTCTGTTTCTGTGTCTCTCTCTTTTACTCTCTCTCTCTCTCTCTCTCTCACACACACACACACATTTTATTCACCCCCACACCCACTCTTCATGTAACCAAGGTAGGGTTTCAATTCATTATCATTAACTCCAAACTGTAGACAGAAAGATTGATTTTGATGTGTATTTTGAATATATTAAATTAGTCTTGCAAATAGCCACTTGCCTCAGGCAAGTGATGATTTATATTGAGCAACTAGTAAAGAATGTGGATTTCCCTTATTTAAGTCCTTGAAGGAAAGGGTGTATTTTTTTTTTAAGTTTGTGGGTTGTTTAATTTTTTATGCATGTTTGAAATTTTCTAGTTTCTAAAAATTTCCCCAGAGCTTCAATTTTCAGAATTGTCTCTGATAAGCAGGAAAAGAAACAGAATCCAATTAACCACACAAAACACATACTGAGGGTTAAAGAAACTATATGATATTCAGTTAATAAGAACCTACCACATATTCAGAGACATAGAAGCTTAAAGTTGGAAAGGTCCTTAGAGGTCATAGATGACCTACAACCTTCCAATGAAGAAATTTGATAAGGAATTCTGGTTTTGATAAAACATCAACTGCTCAGTTAGGAAATGTGGTAGGAGAGTGCTGAACTTTAAAATCTAATTATCCACCTTGAATTTTAACACTGCTAATCATTTGGAAATGATTCCAACTTTTCCAGACTCCCAAGAAACTGATTGGATAATGGAGAAACAATTGTTAAAAATGAATTCCTCTGTTTCTGTTTAATATAGTTCTCTCTCCTCTTTTTTTTTTTGTCCTTCTTTCTATTTATCTTTTCTCTTCGTTTTCTTCATTTCAGGCTGAAAATGGCCCAGGAAACAGTCAACAAGTTAACAGCAGAAAAGAAGGTGGAGACAAAGAAAATCAATCCCACTGCCAGTCTGGTAATAAGATGTTTTATTCAGTGTAACCAAGGTTTTCTTAATACTGAAAAAAAAAAATGTGAGGTAAAAATGAAACTTTTTGAAGTTTACCTTCTTTTCCTTTTCCTCAATTAAAATGGATGCCATTACCAATAAGCCCAACCTGGTCTCCTTAGAATTCTCACACCCTTTTCTCAGTAGATCATGAGAATAGAACCATAATACTTTATATTTCAATAATACCATACTTCTGAAATATCCAAAACACTTTCATATTTGAGGTCTGATTTGTTCCCACTGCAGAAAAAGGGCAACCAGTATTCCTGTTCAGCAGGTGAGGAAATTGAGATGCTGGAAATTTAAGCGATCTTTCTAAGTCATAAAAAAGAGTGTCAAAAGCAAGGCTAAAACCCAGACCTCCTGGTTCCCAGCACAGTGCTGTGTCTCCTGGCTTCTATTGCCTCACTAAAGATAGGGCAAAATTAACATGTGAAGGACTACACTGAATTTCAACCCAAATGAGTGTAACTCAAGAAACATTTAACTGACCCTCTTCACTAGTAAATAGAAACAATTTTTTTAAATGGTGTTTTTTTTTAATTAAAGACTGTACCATCATTTTGTTTAATTATTTCTCATGACAACCTTGTAAGGTAGCTCCTCTGAAGTTTGGTACTATTTGTGTGTAGGAGCTCAATGTATACTGTTTGATGTTGATAAGAAATAAAGAAACCACGACCCAAAGAACCTGCTTCTATTGGTTGATGGCAGAATGAGTACATGAACCCTCTGAGTTATGTTTCTTTATCTCACATGCCTACATGACTGGGAATTTCACTTGACTGTCAGATTTCTGGGTTGTGGGTTCATGCCCTAATTTGTGCCCCAAACATCTATTGCTTTTGGTCTCTTCCATTTGCATCTTGTATATATCATTCTCCCTGCTCTCACAGACAAATTTCATCCCACTAAGACACCCCATCTTTATTGAGAAGGTGAGATCTTCTATTTTGTCAGAGGGAAACTTATGTGGGGTCATTGCATTATTATAATTATAAATTGACCTCAACTAGTCAGATTCCAATTAGAAGGCATAAGTTTTTTTTGGTATGGGAAGTATAAGGAAACCTATAAGACAATTCCTCATACAAGTACTTAAGTAAAGAGATGGTATTTAAATTTAGATGGGTATTTTTTTTAAGTTGACTGAATTTAGAGTCAGATTTGAGTTTTAACCTTGGTTGTGATACTTACTACCTGTGTAACCTTGAGCAAGTTACTTAAACTCTGACCTTCAGTTTCCTCATCATTAAAATGAGGGGATTGAATTAGCTGGCCCTTAAGATCCCTTCCAACTCTCAATCTATGTTTCTTGATACTATGATCTCATAGATAACAGACAGCCCTCTTTCGGGGGTCCAAATTATTGTCCATTTCTCAGGAAACTTCCTCTCTCATCTTTCCATACCAGTGCCTGTTGGCCTTTTAAATATTTCTGTCCCACCCTCATGAGCAACACTCATCCCCTGAACATGTTCAACATATATCTATGTTAAACCTACAGAAAGTGTGCATTCATTTTTCTGTTCTGTTTATACTTGTTTCTATTTATATAAACTCAACAGAACTACATGTGCCATCCATCTAGAGGGGAAAAAAATTAATGGAGAGGAAATATTTGCAGCAACAGTTCAAACCGATGAAAGAATATTTACTTTTGGTCTTCTGCAGATATTTTCAACCTGGCAACAGGAATTTTTCATATTCCCATGAATGAGAAATCACTACTTTCCATGAAGTCCTTGGGTAATGCACTTTAAACAGGTCTTGAAAGATGTAAGGGAACAAAGAATAGCCTGCTATCCTTTAGAACTTGCTCTGAGACCTGGAGTTGCATGGGATTAATTTTGCAATAAGCTTTTTTATTTTTTAAAAAATTGGTTTGTGGACTGGGTAAGGGGTAGAATGATGACAGAACAGTAGGAAACAGAGTGATAGAGAAACACTCATCTCTTTGGCATGTTTCAGACAATTCAACACAGCCTTCTAGACCACATGCTTGTTGTAATTTGAGAACAGATGGAAAATTAGAGAAAGGAATGATAATAAACTCATTTTTTTCTTAAACAACAGAAAGAAAGACTGCGTCAAAAGGAAGCCAGTGTGACCACCAACTGAAAGGAGACATATGAAAAGGATGACAGTGGGACTTGATAAACTTGCATGATGCTTTATGGTGTGACCAGTGCCCTGGAGAGCACTTGGTAGAAGACTTGGTTACCAAACATTTGCTTTTGCTCTACTTTTCCTGAAATTAGCCAAGGAAAACTCTCCAGGTCTTTGCAAAGCAAGACCCTCAAAAATCCAGAGGAACAATGAGAAGCTGTTTACAGGAACACTAGAAAGAATTCTGGTAACTACATCTTGGGGGTATCCAAAGGGATCCCCTCTGCTAAGTGACTAATGGATGCACTGTGTCTATTCAAGGCTTATTGACCAGAGCATGGTATATATGTTGCAACAGATGAAGGAGGGAGCTGTTATCAACACACCTGCCCTATAAGATCGTTTTTAAGCCTTGGTCTTCTCTTGCTGCTGCTTTGATGATTGGCCCTACTTTAATCATGTTGGAAAGAATATGCATCCTTCTCCTCAGAAGGGTTAAAGATTTCTATACATAAATATATCCTGTATTTTATTATTTTACTACAGCTATTTTTAGAGACCCAAGACTTTGTAAATATCCCAGGTTAAAAGATTGTTTTGCACACCAGTGGGGAGGGGAAGAAGTAGCCAAACTCCATTCTCCGAGGAGAATGTCTAATGACTCCAGGTAGTTGGCCTGAACTAAGTTAATTCCGTTGTTTTGGTGTGATGACTATTTGGTGTTCTTCCCTCTGGGTCTAGGTATGCAGGAATCCTGCATACTCAACTCCCAAAAGACAAAAAAATTTACTCGAACAACTTGAGGATCAAATTCATTGCTTGTCCAGAAGAGAAAAAGTGGCAAGTACATTTTACATTTCAGACTGGCGTTTGATTATTGATGCCACAGAACAGCCTGACATCAATGATGTAGTCCCCAAGCAAGATTTTGCTGCCAGAACAGTTTAATTAGGGAGTACCTGGAGATCCCTGGGTTCCTTCTTGCTCCTGTATCAAAAGAGATCAGGAGTCAGATGAGAAAACTTTCTCACTAACAAGTGATGTTTGTGGCAGATAAAGGTCCTCAGTGTAGAAATAAATGAGCACAGGGGGAAAGATCTTTATGTCCAAAAGAAAAAAAAAAGTAGGCTACTCTTGAGCAGGTAGTTTTGTTTTGTTTTGTTTTGTTCTATGAACCTGAGAAACTAAGAGTAGCTACTGGGACATGAGTCATGATGATATGGTTGTGAGCCCAGGGAAAACCCATCACGGACTCTTCCCCTGACCTGACTATCCTTACTCCCCTTGTCTGCCCTTTGGTTCTCAGACAGAAAGCATAGGACAGAGAAGAAAGTAAAGAGAGGTTTGAGGTGATGTTTCTGAAGGCAGTAAAGCTTCCTCTGCTGATCAGTAGAGGACCATCTAGAAGCAAGAAATACCCCATGAGTGCCTTTTCCCTCCCTACTGCCTCTGATATCCATCGCCCTTCTCCTCAGGCTCCTAGATCATTCCTCCTTGTCAGGTCCCTGAGTCTCTCTCCGTTGTGTGGTCCCCACCAACCTGCCAGTCAGCAGTCCTTTCAGGAATTGCTGCGAATAGAAGCATCTAATAAAAATACCACTTCATCCTTAACACAGTTTTTATCTCTAAGGAGTTTTAAAAAATGCGTCATGAAGGTCAAATCAAAGCATAGGAAGCATATTCACACAGGTGCTAATTGTTTTCTTTAAGCTACCAAAAAAAAAGAAAGAAAATGATTAGCTTTTTGTACCCCCAAATAAAGTGCTAGGACAATCAAGGTAAAACGTCTATGCAGAACTAAGAAGGACTTACTTGACCTCTTAGTTAAAGAGCCTTCTATCACTGGGTTCTTATGTTTCCTATTCTGTCTCACTCAGATGTGATGAGATCTCTGGGAATTTATCAGCTAATAAATCTGATGGTAGTGACCCTTTTAAAACAAAAGCCATCCAGTACTGTCAGGAGTTCCTCCTGGCATTTACACGTGGAAGAAGAGTATAGTAAGGTTCCTAAGATTTCTGTGGCATAGAGCTACTTCTAATTTGCCTGAAGCCCAGAGATCAACAGATGAGTTTATGATCAAAGATATAGAAGTATAGGCCATTTTAACAGCTGGGTATAATAACAACTAAATTCATGATTGATGGATGTGTTTGTGTATGTGTGCATGTGGCTACCCCAAAATGAGGAAGAACAAGGGGAAACTCATCCAGAACATTGGACATTTCCAAAAAGGAGGGGGGCTATCACAGCTGCTGAATTCCCTACCCACTCTTCAGTGGAAATGTCCACATACTTCTAAGGGAAGGAGTTCCTAACAACAGTATATCTTCCTATCCCTCAAAAAAAAAAAAATACTACAGCTCCATATGGAGTAGGCAGGGAACTGGGTTCATGGTATTATCCAGCTCTCCCTCAACCCAGTAGAAAGGGCAAATTATCAGTAACTACAATTACCTGACCAACCAGATCCAGAATCCAGAAACTAGATCAAATGGTCAAATGTGACCATCCACTTAAGTACTCATAAGATAACAGCTTCTGAGCATGTTCCCCCCTTACCTAAGGAGCATGCTAATATCCTTGTAGCCAATTTCTTGGTGCCATAAATCCCAAGGCTGCATGTTTACTGAAGTGCAGATTCTTACAAAAACATGATTGCAATAAGCATTGATTGCTGGATGTGTATATGATGCTTACATACTACTGCCTATCCAGGTACAAAGGCAGAAAAGCCATAACAGGCCACAGAATAACCTGTAGCATATTATAAAGAATATTAGAAGGTGGGCTCTCTCTTGCACACAGACTTCTAATCCAAGTTGAAAAGGAAGGAGGAAAAGCAAAGTGTGGGTAAGTAAGAATGGAAATATGAGTGCTAGGTGGCATTTCACAGCCTAGCATCTCAATACCTGGTAACAAAACATGAGGGGAAAATGGTCAATCTTGACAATCATCTCATGCAACAAGAGCATGCCTTTTAAGCAACTGAGCCCTGTTTATAGGAAGTGCCTTCAGAGACCCTTAGCAACTTGCTAGGGCACCCAAGGCAAGGAAAAACATGAAATCTGGAAAATAACAGAGGGAAACCCTCTGGTGCTATATCTTGCATTTCTCCAACTGAAATGGATTCTATCTTAAAGTTAGCAAAGGGAATGAACACTTATGATTTTTCAATGAATATACAGAAATCACTGCAGGGTCTGGGGTTGGACTAGGTGATCTTTAAGACCATTTCTAGCTTCCATGGTCTCTATGGAGTCCCTTCAGTGAGGTAACCACTTTCACACTAAGGTCTCATACCCTACTACTGAGGAAACTGGGGAAAGTGCACGTATTAGGAGAAAAATTTGATATATGGGGGGGCTGTGAATGACTTTAAAACTTTAATGATATTGATGAAATGGTCACTGTTATTTTCCCAAGGACCAGTTGTAGATGAAATAGGAGAGCTACAGGTATACTCGAATAATGGTTTGCCTCTGAGTTACAAATCTCACCATAGATTTTGCATCCTGTTCTCAGGCAGTTTCAGCTTAATTTTATTATTGCTTCTCTAGATGTTTCCATTACTTTCTTTCTCCTACTATTTTTCCCAACCTTGATGGTTTATAATATAAAAGTATACAACAGAAAGTAAATATATAAATCTTAGGTCATACAAAGGTAGGGCAAACTCCAGGATTCTACTTGGAATAAAGGAAGCAGGACACCAAAGGACTTGGTTATTACACAGGGTTTGTACCCACCATCAACCCTTAATCATAAACAGTGGGTAGAAAGAAAATCCCATTTATAAGATATGTGAGATCTCATCTTGTGTAAGCAATGAATTCAAACAGTTGTGATTACATGATGATTCTGAGCAGAGTAGTCCCCAACCCCTGTTTGAACCATCTATATAAGTAAATATGAACTGTAGTCTAGATGTGAATACTTAGGATGGTGAAAGTCAATTCCATTTGAAAAGTCTGTGTACGGGGCAAAACAACATATTATGATGCAAAAAGCCATGGACTGAGTCGGAGACCTTGCTCTGCCATTAATCGTTATATGACATTCGACAGAGCAACCTTCCTAGACTTCCCTTTCTCCATCAAGACAAAAGAGTTGAACTACTTAAATGCCCTCTCTACTCCAAAATGCTGTAATACCAAGACAAAGAGGTAGAACAAATCTTTTTTAAATTGGTACCATTCAGCACTCCAAAGAAAAATCTCAAGATCAAGTCCTGAACTTTGTCTTAAATCTGTTGGAGTTCAGAATTACTTCAAACTCATCCTAATGGATAGTGAGGTCAAGTTTAAGTTTGTGTTATTGAACTAATGTTGTTATAATTGAAATGTGGCATTGGCAAGAGAATAAGAAAAGACCAAGATGTATCCCTGAAGTCATTGTAAGTTCTTGAATTTGTCAAAAATGCAGGTTAATTTCATGATCATTCATCCAAATGGAGTGGTGTCTCTTTTTCTATGTCCTGTTCTCTGTCATTTTAGTTTGTAATAAGCCTTTCATTTTCATTTTCAGCATTTGCAGGCTTGACTCTACTTTTAATAGAATGTTATCAACAATTAGTGATTATTTAGCACTGAATTTGGTGCCAGAGCCTTTGTTATGCAAAAAATAGTATGGTCAATAAAGACACTAAGTAACATTTAAAGTGAACAGACTCCCTCAAGATTAGACTAGAATTTCTTCTTTAGGTAGTGGTTCCATTTTGATTTTTTAATTAGCCTACATTCTAACTATGGCTACTCAGGAGTGTCTTGTAAAAGTGTGGAATATCCAGAGGACATGGACCCCATACATACACATTATAAAGTCCAATGATCATGCTTCAAACATCAGTCAGTTGACCTTTTGAAACCTTGATTTAGTAGGAGAATGGGATGAGACAGTGAACGTAAGAAACAGAACTGAACTATCGATTTCATTCCCTTTACTTCTTGGTCATAATAAGAAACTTGCCCCTACCCTATCCCAAAGAGCCCTGGGGTTGACATGCATGTGAAATAAATCCCATATGGTCAAACTGATCTGGAGTTCAACACCCATGGCCAGTTTGAGGCGTTTCAAAATGCAAAATAACCAAAGTTGTTGTTGGGTAGCTTTCTACTTTCCAGCCACATGGAGAAATAATTCCATCTGCTTAGAAACCTCCCTCAGCATTGGCTAAGAATTGCACATGAGGAAAAACACCTTCAAAAATGGGAGCCAATAAATATTTGATCATCCTTTTATACCAGTGTAACATGGTATTTGCAATTTCACTGGCAATTGATTCTAGGCATAGTCTCTCTGAGTGACAGAGAGGCAAGTTCTTCATGTTATTGGGCAATGGCACAAATGATATTTCTATCCATCCTGTCAGCTATTGACACCTTGTTCGAGGCACTAAATTCCAATTTCACAATTTTTATTTCCCTCCCAAGAAGCAGTCAAAAATCTCACATTCTCTAGATCAATGCCTTACTGGAAGTTACCAAATTTAAGATGCTCCTAGTATGTCAGATCTGAAGCCCATTTAGTAGGCTTTTTTTTTTTTTTGCTTAAGATTCCTAATCAACGCTATGACATGAATTTATCACAGGACATGTAGAGCATTGAAGTTCTTATGAAAACGAAGTGGTAGAAATGCAGGCGAGATCAAGCCAACCAGAGATGTTTCATTGTCCTCCACACCAGGTAGAAAGCTTTCTTTTTCCAAGAGCTGTGCAGGATTGGTAACCAATGGAGAAAACAGTGAAAAATCCCACACTTCACTTTTTCTTGGAGGTGAACTTCACCCGGCTCATCACTTTTGTTATCTTCCCAATCCCCTCAAGCTGCGTCTCCTTGTCCTCCCATGAACTGCCTCCTGAACCTATAGCAAATAACTGTCTTGACTGACTCTTGGTTGACCTACCTCAAAGATTTTTTTTCTCCTCCTTCTTATTCCCTAGCATGTATTCTCAGAGAATTTACTCTGGTGTTTTATAGTCCGCTTCAGTCCTGAGTATAAACTAACATAGGATTGAATTGCACATTTTATCTTGGAAGCGTTTGTTAATGAATATTTTCTGCATTCAGTGTGCTGGGGAAGATAGCAGAATTGATTTCAGTTCTTAGACAAAGTGATAGATGAATCTGCCCATTTATCTTGCCACACCACCTTCCCATAAAATTTCCTATTTCCTATCTTCTCCAAAATGCTAAGAATGCTTGTGTCTGTCCTTTGATCTTAGCCTAATCAAAATATTTCTGTAGGCTATTTTTTTATGCGTTGGGTGAAACTTGATACAAGTGTGCTAGCAAAATGTCAGCGAATCTACAGTTTCTAGCTAGCTTGCCCCTGAGGAATCTGGCAACCTTTAGTATAAGACTAATATATCCCTCTGTATGTGAGCCATCACCTAGGCTGAGAAATAACTCCCATAATCATCCTACCTGTATAAAAACTGGGGGACTGTCACCCTGAAGACAGGGAATACCTAAATATAGACTAAGCAGCTCTTCAAGATTGGAGCATGCGTTGCCAATACATTGTTGTATACTTAGCATGTCAAGCAAGGGATCATGAAAACATTTTCAGGAATGTATGAATAATGGTTTGTCAACAGCCCTGGCAAAGTTCAACATATTTTCCTCTGTTCTCACTGAAATTTTTCCTTCTATTAACATCTCATGGACTATAAGCATTTTTATCTATTCAACTGCCTGCTTTCATTTTCCAGGTTCAACTTTCCAAAACAAAAAGGTGATTCCTGCAAAAATTGGGCATAGGGAAATGTCTCTGAGTGGATCTTCACATATAAGCCTCTGGACAGACGATGATCAGATATGCATAGTATCTATGTTCTCCACTATTTGGTCTTCATTCCATTCAGAGCTATAGAATGAAGATGAGTAACAAAGTTTTCTGGGTACTTTCCTCTTTCCATTGAGAGACTAAAAGTTCTATCAAAATCTTTGTATGTAAGAACAGTTTGGAGAAAGCATGAATAGTTCAATTATTAGTCCTTCATTTCTGACATATGTAGAGTTGCTACCTTGTTTTTTGTTTTCTTTTCAAGACATGACCACCTCCTGATGTGCCTAAACCAAAAGTTTCCATTTCTCCTTCTTGTAACACTGTTTGATAGGCATTTTTCTTGAACTATCTTCGCGGCCCAATGTGACAAAGGTTTGGTTCTACCTCCTAGTACAAAATGAATGGATAGATGTCATTGCAATGCCCCACCTTCCTTGTAGGCATTATAATTCTCTCTGTCAGCAATTTCCCAAGGCATAAATAATGTGATCCTCATATAGAAGCTTCATTTAAAAATCATAAGTATTTGGTAAAATACATGTTCCTTTAAACCACCATTCTGAAATATGCTTCCAATAAGAGGAAGAATAGTTTTTTAGTTAGATTTTTTTTGCAGGAATGTTCTAAGAAAAAAAGTGACAATTAATGCTCAATTTCTCTTTTTTGACTTGGGTTTCAATATGAATACCAAGCCAACAATGGGGATCGGGTTGTCTCCAAATTTTCTCAGAGGGGCCTATCCCTTAGCCAGGAAAATAAGCACTGCTCTACATGCCCAGGACCTAAATGAAATCAGGAATAGGTTCTAATAGAAATCAGGAAGTGGACCTGAAAAGATGTAATAATCTTGGCCTCTCATATCAGATTTTTCTATGTTTCATTTTCATGGGATCCTGTACCTGAGGAATCAAATGTATTTGTTCTAGCCAGATGCCTATATTGTCTTAGCTGTGAACTGGGAGATGGTGGATGGTAGAAAGAGGATGGGAACAGATAGGAAATAGAGCATATGGAAAATTGGATAGAGCAAACACAGATTTTTCAGACCAATAAATTTTTAGTGGCCCAATGGTTTTTGTTCATTCTCTGCAAAGAGTAAGATGTGATTTCTGATCAGTGAGATCTCTGCAGTGAGATGTAATGTGCAAACTTCTCTGTGAGAGTTCAGTAAGCCTTTGGTGGGAACCAAAGAGTGCCCTGAATACCCTATTGTCCTTTGTGTTGATCACTTCCTAGAAATGTGCTGAAATGGCAGATGTCAAAATGAAACTGGCCTATGTTTGCTTTGATTAGTCAGTTAAAGGTACGTGTTTATTGGTCCAGTTCCAGTTTTTCTGATCATATCACATTGAATTTCCAAGACTCTTTGGTCATTGGCAGTTTGCTTCATTTTGCTTATTCCCTTTTGATGTTTTTCCCACCATCACCCTTCCCCTTGTACTCCACAGCTATTATTTCTTTACCATTACGATCTCTCTAGGCCTCAGCTCTTTCTATCTTTTCCTATCATAAATAACTTTCTCATTCATTCTCTGATTCATCCCCTCACATCCTGCACTTCAGTTCTCATTCCTTCTCCTCCTTGACAACACCTTTCATTCCAAAGGATGCCCACATGATAGTAATTGACCTAGCCAATTCTACATTGTCGTACCTCTTGGTAGGGTTATTGTTGCCTCAACACTTCCAGAGACCTGCTTACACTAAGCATGCCTTCAAACATACAGAAAATCAGGAAAACAAATGAGGGAAAACTTTATTGGTCTGACTTTTTTTTATTTTTGACCTGGCTTTAAAAATAAAGCAAAATAAATAGATTTGCTTTATTTTAATGGGAGATTAATGTAATCTATCCTATTCCAGGCCTACTTGGCTTTTCATTTGGGTTAGACATGAATTTTAGTAGAAGTTATGGTACAGTTTGGGTAAGAGGAGGAATAGTTATTTGAAAAAAATCAAACTTACATGATCTTAAATAGTTAAAAACTTAATAAGTTAATTGGATTCAGGTACATTTCCTTTAAAATATTAAATGTATATGTATTTCTAATCTATATTTGCACATTTAATTTTGTAAAAGCTAAGATATGCTTATGAGTTGGATTTGTAAACATCCTTTGCAACCAAATGAAGTATTTATTTTTAAAAAGAAAGGGTGAAGGAACAATTGTTGGTTTGTATATAATGAAAATATAGATATATATTTTCCTCCTTGACACTGCTATTCACCATATTAAGTGTATTTTTGTATGTAAAACATATTGGTTACATATTATAGATTGTCTACTCAAAGAATTCAGTCTCCAATGTAGCTATTATTTATCCTGTGTTATTTGTACTATTAATGTTTTAGCCTTCTTTCAATTTGTTTTAAGAGATAGAACCTATTTTTTTTTAATTTGCAGAGAACTACATTTATGGCTTAAAGATGTAAATTTCTTAAGGTTACTTTAATAAATGTTGTTTTCATGTGTTCCAGGTGTGTAGTACAAATTCATTCTCTATTTTCACTTAAAATGGTAGCTTATGGGCAACTTGTAACTTACCAAGAATGCCTACCTGTTTCAATCATGTCTTAAGTTCACTACTGCCACGACCTCCTGTTTGTTACCTAAGTGAATCTGAAAAAGTTCAGCATTTCCATTTTTCTTTCTACCTTACACATTTTTGTTAAGAATCTACATCTTTGCCTTCTGTATTCTAACTCAGTACCCACAAATGGTCTGCCTGTAGCTGCAGTCAAGATTAAGCACTAACTGAGCCCCACCATTCATTTTTTTCTAAATTGGACTATCTCAAAGACAGCCTCTATCCTGAATAATATCCTGGTGGGAGAAACAGGAGTTGGAAACTCAAAAGTTCATGCATGTAGGAA